ATTCTTATGCCATAATTTCAAAGTAAGTTATATGGCATATACCTTTTCAGTGAAAGAGGAGAGCGAAAAAGTTGGCTTAAAACTCAACATTCAGAAAACTAAGATCATGGCATCCGGTCCCATCACTCCATGGCAAATAGGTGGGGAAACAATGGAAACAGTGACAGACTTTATTTTGGGGGGCTCCAAAATCACTGCAGATGGTGACTGCAGCCATGAAATTAAAAGATGCTTGCTCCTGGGAAAAAAAGCTATGACCAACCTACACAGTATATTAAAAAGCAGATACATTACTTTGCCAACAAAGGTCCGTCTAGTCAAGGCTACGGTTTTTCCAGTAGTCATGTATGGATGTGAGAGTTGGACTATAAAGAAAGCTGAGTACTGAAGAACTGATGCTTTTGAACTGTGGTGTTGGAGAAGACTCTTGAGAGTCCCTTGGACTGCAAGGAGATAAAACCAGTCCATCCTAGAGGAAACCAGTCCTGAATATTCATTGGAAGTACTGATGCTGAAGCTCAAACTCCAATCCGTTGGCCACCTGATGCAAAGAAGCGACTCATTGGAAAAGACCTTGATGCTGGGAAAGATTGAAGGCAGGAGGAGAAGGGGATGGCAGAGGATGAAATGGTTGGATAGTATCACCGACTCGATAGACATGAGTTTGAGTAAGCTCCAGGAGTTGGTGATGGACAGGGAAGCCTGGCGTGCTGCAGTCCATGGGGGTCACAAAGAGTCAGACATGACTGAGCAGCTGAATTGAACTGAACCTTTTTTTCCAGCTTTGAATTCTTTTTCAACTCTTGCATTGATTTGTCTTAGCATTCCAACTGGACATCTACTAATTAATAGTGATAATACTATTACCTCTAAGCAGTTTGGTTTTGTCTATATAACTGAGTGCTTAAGGAAAGAAAGAACCAAGGCAAGCATGCCTTGGTACATGTAAAATCCATTCTTGCTAAAGCGAGAAGAGAGCAGCTCAGCTTCAGACCCTATGATCACTGCTCTTTATAAGCCACTTAAGCAAAGGGCAGCCCAGGTAACAAGTGGGCCTTCTGTGATAAGAGCTCCCGTCCACTGGAAGGGCTTCCCTTGTTGCTCCACTGGAAATGGGAATTGGCACACAGTTTCGTTTCACAGGGTCTACCAGATGGCCAATGACTTTACCTACCCGGAGCCAATCCAGTCTGGAGATAGAATGTGCTACACGCCCTGTCCCACTCTGCTGGGAGAATTGGCACTTTCCTCTGGGGGTGGATTGATTTAGTGTGTGTGTGTCTGTGTGTGTATGCACACACATGTGTATTTTAGTTTGATTATACATTATGCTGCGGTTCAAAGGCCGAAGTTTCCCTAAGGCTTGAAACTTGGCTTCTTTGCTTAGATCTGGCAAATCTGATTAGAAATCAATGGCTTCCAAAAATAGGGACCAGGAAATGCCAGGATGCAGATACAGTAGCTGCAGTAACAGACATGTAACAAGATGGAAATGAGTTAGTGGGAGATTTGTAGGGAAAAGTTTAGGGGAAGGGTTGGGAATGAAGAGAAAAAAAATCTCAAAGTGAAATGGCTTCATTGTCACAAGAAATTGCAAGAATCCTTCACTTACTTAGTTATACTGGAATTACAATTTCCGCTCACATCTTTTGTGAAAGAGGAAGTAGGGAATATGACCATGGAAAGTGATATTTTAAGCTTCTACATATATTGCTCATCACTGGCTTGACTTGCGGCATGTCTTTCAACAAAAGCACACAGTGATTTAATCTCAACAGTAATTCAGTCTGCAGCGTATGAGACAAGACTATCATTGCAGACAGGAGGTAATTTGTGAAATTCAGGTGTTAGGGATTAGGACCGCCTGTTGAATTTAATCTTGGAGTTATAATGTTAACACCGTCATGTAACCGTACAAAAACACTACATATTTATTGGACTTTGGGACCTCCAGCCATGGAGATGTGAACATTTTCCTAAGTGGTATCTGTAACCCTCTCCAGATTCAGTAAATCAATGGCAAATAGAAACTCTGTTGGAATTCTGATTCAATATGCGGCAGCATATGGCTTGGTAGTCATTACAGTCAGGACATCCCATAATTTTTCTAAAGCCTGATGTGAGAGTGGGGGACAAAAGCAATCAGAGAATCATCTGGCAACACAATAAGAATAGAAAAGTTTTCATTTCTTACCTTCCTCGGTACTAACCGGAAAGAAAATTCCCAGCAATAGTCTAACAAATGATTTCTACCTCTGCTTAAGCAAGACTATATATAGGAAAATTTCAAGTAAACCTAAACAGCAACGGGTAGAGAACATAAACATTTTACATATGTACCTTCAGATAGCCATTGGAAATGAAACTCTGCCCAACTTCCAGTCAGTAAACAGTAGTAGTAAAGTGACTACTGGCTTCCCTGGTGGTTCAGTTGTAAAGAATCTGCCTGCTCAATGCAGAAGACACAGGTTCGACCCCTGGGTCGGGAAGATCCCCTGAAGAAGGAAATGGCAACCCACTCCAGTATTATTGCTGGGACATCCCATAGACAGAGGAGCCTGGCAGCCACAATCCAAGGAGTCTCAAAGAGTCGGACATGACTTAGCAACTAAACAACAACAACGGCAGCAAAGTGACTACATTCTCAGCAGCTTACATTTCATTCAGTGGGACAATTGGAATAATGCCTAAAGAGAAGGCACTGGTTTTAAGATCAGCATTTGTTCCTTTGCTTGAGGCAGGGTAAACTTTTTTGAACTCTTTGGGTATGGAATTTTGTGAGAAGTTAGTTTTCTATAAAAGAATTTCATTAATATTATCTACAAAGACCTTCCTGGTCACATTTATAATTCTTTGCTAAGAATTCCAAGGTCTTCCACACATATCTATCATTCACAAAATACTTAACAGTTTACAAATTTCTCATATATAGTGTCCATATTCCTTCCCCAAAAGGGCTGCTCTTCATTTAATGAAATACAATGTTGATTCTGTGAAAATGAAAACCAGTATATTGGTGTGAATAAACACTGTTTTGAAAAAGAACATGAGGAGAGGGAGGTGGGGGGGGGGACTGGGATGGGGAATACATGTAAATCCATGGCTAATTCATTTCAATGTATAACAAAAACTACTGTANGTAAATCCATGGCTAATTCATTTCAATGTATAACAAAAACTACTGTAATGATGTAAAGTAATTAGCCTCCAACTAATAAAAAAAAAAAAAGAAAAAGAACATGAGGGCATCATATTTTGCCTTAGGCTATCGATATTCTTAGCTGGTGCTGGTCCAGCAGGAGAGCACAGGAAGGGAAGTACTAGCAACATCTTCCTAAAGGTAGATCACAGCTTTCAGCAAATTTACCTTTTGACATCCCTATTAACCAAAGCTTCAGAAATGCTAGCCATTTCCATTAAACAACAGCCGTGAAAATCCACCATGTTCAATAGATTCATCATAAACACATAAACACCACATCCATCCACAGTCAGAAGTCAGTGCCCAAACTTTTCTAGGACTCAGCCCCTATGGGTTGCTTGCAGATACAAAGTATGTAATCAATCAGTAAAGAGAAACAGAATCCTTAACTGTGAAACTGAAGGCTGTTTCTACTTTTGATTTTAAGATTTATCACCAGACCCCTCCCCAGCAAGTCACTTCCTAACAAAACCGCTCCCTCTTTTCTGCTTCCTGAATCCTTCCAGTGCAAGTTTCACCTTTTCAAAGAAACTTTCCTTAATCCCACCAGAGCAGAGATCTTTCTCATCTCTGTATTCCAACAATAATAACTGTTTATATACACTATTTCCCATACATTTATATTTACCATCTATCTCTCTGTCATCTATCCATCCATTCATATTTCATGGTATGTTGTTTCTTCCCCACAGGCATTCAAAGGTTTCTAAAGGTTAGGTCCTGCCTTAAATTCCTTTGTACCCTCCAAACTCCTTAGCATTATACATTGCACAAGTGAGTAGAAGTATTTTGATTGCCATTTTAAAAAGTCTGACTTTTTCATGCATGACAAAAGCCACCTTTTCACACAAAAGGAGCACCTCCTAAATATTACTTTGGTTCACAACCACAAAACGTAGTAATACATAAAGCAGAACAGTTGGGTGGTTTCAAGAAATCCTCTAGCTTTATAGAGCATATATGGACTGGAATGATGTTTTAATAAAAATATATTAACAGCTTCAAATAATGGGAAATACACTTAAACTGTATTAAAATAGCTTTTTAGAATCAGGAAACTTGATTACAATTCTCCCAGAGGCTTCACACTCTGAAACCAGAGATTTATTATTCCAGGGAAAGCAAGCTCAATTTCTTAAAAATTCATCTGATTAATTATTAGCCAAGCCATGCAGCGGCTTCCCGGAAGGCAGAGGAAAATAGGCCCTCAATGATGAGTTTCAAGCCAATGGAAGCTGAGTTTGTGCCTCAAGCCTTCTGCGCCTGCCTGGGCACTGCTCTCCAGGGCTGTGGTAATTCAGCCCTGAGCATCCGAAGCAGAGATCAGATAGGAGGAATCTGCGAGCCTGAGCAGCGGCCGGCAAAGGACTAGCTGTTATTTAGCCTCCGGCACCCTGTCGGAGGTAACCGCTCGGACTGGTACCCGCTCCATTCCCGGGTCTCCTCCCACTAGGGCGCGACTCGGCCGCCAAACCCGAGGCTTCAGGAATCCAGCACCCAGCAGTAGCTGTCATCCCGGGGATGAGCGGTTCTAGTTCCAGGGACGGTTCCTGTTAGGAAATTAGGCTTTGGGGTGCACTCATCTCATCCCCGTTCCCTGAAAAACTTTGCTACCTTCTCCACATAGAAATTCACACCAGGTAGTAACTATCCCATCTCACCCCACAGGGTCCACTCCCCCTTCCAGCCTCCGAATGGCACCTACTCACGGCGCCTCCCAGCCCCGGGGAAGGGGGCAAGCTCAGGTGTGCGGGATCCCCAGGCTGGGTGGCGGGCAGGCTGGCGAGCGAGCCGTCACCTTGTGGTCCACCACGCCGAGGTATCCGTCCAGCGGCCGCGGTCCCGCGGGGGTCTCCGGGCGCGGCGGGGGGCTGCTCTCCGCCGAGCGCCGCGAGCTGAGGGTCGCCGCTGCCTGCTGCTGCGGGGGCCGCTCCTTCTGGCCTCCAAGGCTGCTGTACACGAGCAACAAGCTGGTGCACATGGTGGTGAGCGCTAAACACACTGCCAGACCATGGCGCTGCGGGCGGGCGGGCGGGAGAGAGCACAGGAGAGTCTCTGAGCGCCGACCCGGGAGGAGCGCGCCCGGCGGGGACACCGGCGCGACGGTCAGACAAGACGGGCGGGGGAGGTCGGGGACGGGGGCTGCGTGGCCGGGTTTCGACCCCGGCGGCGCGCGGCCCGGGCAGAGAAGGCACAGTCCCCGGGGGTACCGCAGGGGATGCTCCCTGCGCGTCGCTGCTCTCGGCCGTCACCGCCTCCCACATCTCCTGGCAGAGGACAGGTGGTGCGCGGCGCCCGGCTACGCGAGGGACAGCGCTCCGGCGGCGGGGGCAGGGGTGGGCTTGCACTTTGGGAGGGGGGCCCTCTGCCCCCAGCTCGGCTGCTGGAATGTCTAGCCTCTCCTTTCTGGACCCCTGGGGCTCTACTTCGGCCATCCTCGCAAGTTTGAAATACGACAAGGAAATCCAGAAAGTCGGCAAAGGTCCGCCGCCTCCCGCCCCTCTTAGTTTTTGCCAAGCTGTTGCTTTTAGGGCAATCCCCATTCCCGAGCAAGACGCCCACCACTCCTAGATTTCTCTAGCTCTCCGCTGACCGCTCGGAACTCCGGCCGGAGATCCAGGAGCCCAGCAACCCGAGTTCCCGTTCCGGCTCTGGGATTCCGAGCCTGGCAGAACCGAGGAATCGGGAGTAGACCGGGAGCAGGTGAAAAGTTCTCCCTTGTAACGGGCGATCTAGCAGCTCAGGGTTAGGCGCCCTGGAGCTCTCCCGTGCGCCCTGGGGACGCTGCGCCCCGGAATCTCGCCGATGCCCAGAGGAGTTACAACAAATGACTCACCACCAGGGTCTTCATTTTGGGCACTTCTTTTGTGCGGAATCCTTAGGCACACGCGTCCGGGGCCACTTTTTCTTGGAGGGTTTCCATTGTGGGTGATGGGGCGGAGGCGGCTTTGATTTTCGCCTGGCGGCCAGCCTCGGCTGAATGAGCAGGGGAGCCGCGGGACCCAGGAAGCGCCGCTGTTGCAGAGATTAGAGACAGAATTAAAACTGAACCGGACCCTCGTAGTCTCTCAGCGATCTACACAACTGCCGCCTGCCGCCGCCTGCTGGGTCCTAAAGACCTCTGCATTCCCCCCTTTCCAGCCCCCAAATAGTAATCTCAGCGGAGTAGAATTTCTTGGACGAGAGAGTTAACCGTACCAGTATACCCACCTCTTAGTCCAAGGGCTTATTTATCTTTTATGAAGTCGTCAAGTAAAAAGGAAGAGGGAATCCAGTTGGATTCTGAACATGATAGCATTTGAAAATTTGCAAACTAATATTTCTGTTTTGTGATTTCGGTAAAAACAAATCAACAACTGGAATGTCAATAGCTCTATTTTTGGAATTTGCGTTTATGTTCTTAGCAGGGAGGAATCTGTCACGAAAATTTTTTTTTCAAGTAAATTAATATTTCAGTTTTCCAATTGTAAGCTTTCTGATATACCCTTCCGTCTTAATTTTACTTTTTAAATTTAGGGACTCTCATGCAATCTTTATAGCCTCATTTTCATCCAAATTATTTCATTCATTACATGTTTTAAATATTGTACTTTGTTTTTTTTTTTTTATCAGAACCTTGAGGTTCCTAGTGTTCATCTAAATGATTTAAGTGTTAAGAACATTCAGCACATCATATCCACAGGATTAACTGGACCTGTAGATTCTTCTTAATTTAAATGAAAGATTTCTGGCTGCTAGAGATAAAATTGTTTACTGCTTATTTTGTAAGAATCTTAAGGCCTTTAGTGCTCTCCTTCTGTTCTACTGCACTGACAGTATATAATTTCACATTTAGAACTCCAATTGAAATTTAAAAAAATAATTATTTGTTTTTTCTCAGGAAATGCATATCAATATCTTGTTTAAAGGATGATCTCCCCTTCTCCCACCCCACATTGAATTACAAATGGCATTTGCTAAATGTCTAATTTAGTTAGAAACATATTTCTTGTGAAATTGCTCAGTGAAAATAGTTGTTTTAATGTATTACTCAATACCTCACCTGTAGCAGTGTAATGTTAAAGATTACATTAAGATGAAAATGATCAGCAGACCAACTGAACCATAGGCACAATAAGAGCTTTCTCAAGGCCAAAGAAGGCATTACAATCCATTTTTTAATCTTCACTAATCCATTGCTGGACTGATGATACAACAGAAACTATTTTTAACTTATGAAGCATCCTTCTATACTCAGTATTAAGAAAGTTAAAATTAGTCAGTGCAACAATGACTATCAATGCAATGTGTTTGGGGGGAAGCGAGAAACATACGGAATTTAGCCTTTCAAGGAAGAACAAAAATTTCCAAGCAGAGTCCAACATTGCCAGGCTTGAAGCTATTTATTCAATTTGTGCTTTAGGCATGAATAGTACCAGTTGTTCCGGCAAAAAAAGCAGCAGCCAGAGGAGAATCTTATCGGGTCTTGGCAATTCTTTATTGGAGGGTTGCTCTTGACACTCAAATTAGGGAAACAAAGGACCAACTTGATGAATTGGTGCAAGCAGATTATCTGTGTTTCTCCAGGGCTACTTTTGAGATGCTACTAGACATAGCTTCTGTATTTTTTCAGAATGATTCCCCTTCCATCTAGTATGTTGCCCCATGACCAATAAAATGCTTCTAATATATTCTGCCATGCCAAACAGAGCCATCATATTTATGATTTAAGCTCATGCAGCACGTTGGACATCTGTTACACAGTATGTCTGACCAAATTCATTAAGCTTGTGCTTTTTTTCCCCCTCTCCTGGGATAGCAGTTAGCAAGTAGCTTGATCTACTTATGAGATGACCAGGATAAATTTGAAAAATGTAATTCTGAAGTTGATTTGAATAATTTCATGGTCTCTGGCTTTCAAATATTTGATTAGATTGATGCAAAGGTTTTAGGCACTGTGGCCCAAGAGACAAATGGACAAGGGGCCTTGGGGAGGGCAGATAAAACAAGTGACAAAAGTGAAAATCCTTGTGCTGTTCAGTGTAATGATCATTTAATGATCATCTGCTATCTGGTGGTTTTATATTAGGGAATTCAGAGAGGAATAAGACACAGATCTTGTCATCTAAGAGCTCACAACCTAGGGTGTGTATGTGTGTGTGTGTATGACAAGTCTGCAAGCTGGTAATGAAAGATTGAATTAAAGATATATTTGTCAAGTGCCCACCATATTAAGCATCTCCTCTGGTGAGCACCTATTACATGCCAGGCATGGGGATACCTGGATAAATAGATGACATGCTGCCCTGAAGCAACTCACAGCCTATTATTCCCAAGTAACTGCCATGAATCTTTATATTACAAAGAATTAGGAAACGATCAAAATGCTTGGCTTGCTTTTCAGCTTCTGAGTGCTAGCTTATTATTACCCCAGGGGCTCAGTATCTTAAGGGTATCCACCACTGTTGATGTAACTTTTTGCACACTTTTAGGTTAGTACTTTGAGGAGCCAGAAATAGCAGAAAATAGGCAGCATTCACAGACACTTGATTGACTTGGAGACAACTAGACAAGTCAATAAAGTTTTTTAGTTCATCTAACTTGTCCAGTTCAATACAAAGTGAGTCAAGGAATCACAATTTGCTTCTCAAAATCCAGGTAGCTGAGATGGATTTCTCACCATTTAAAATTTTGCCACATTTCTGCCTCTGGTGCCATCACATTCAATTAGACAGATTCTTACTTTTGAAAGAAAAAGAAAGGCAAAGAAATCATGTGTTCCACTATCTAGGTTATGAGGCAAACTGAAGGTGAGGATTTATGAAATAAGGCATGTCATAGGGAGAGAAGGTGGGATCTAGAGGTTGAAGGGAATGCCCACCTGTACACAGGGCCACAGAGGCACCAGAAAGCTACCAGGGAGAAGGAAAGACAGATTGCTGGAAATTAGTGAGTCCTGCCCATGACTGCTAAATAACCTCTCAAATCAGAAACAAACATTTCAAACATTTCAAAGGTATATGAAAAGCAGAAAACAGCATAATGTAAACTGCATTAAGACATAACTGATGTCTACTTTATGACCTTAAAGAAAAAAATGCTATGATAAATGCTACAAGAGCATGAAGTTTCATAATGGCAGAAAGTCCTAGAACAAAGTGATACTTGTTCCTCAGTTTCCTTCATTCCTTTTACTTTACCTGCACGCGAGCTCAGTTGCTCGTTGTCTGACTGTTTGGACTGCAGCCTGCCAGGCTTCTGTCTGTGGGATTTTCCCAGCAATAGGGGGTTGCCATTTCCTCCTCCAGGGGATCTTCCCAACCCACAGCCTGTGCCTAATGGGCTGTGTGGTTGGAAACAAGTCCATGGAGTTTGGCTGTCAGGACCCAGATTCTGACTTTAACACTTCCCAGTGCTGTGACCTTGGGTAAGTTAGCTTTACCTTGATTTATCTGTAAAGTAGCAACTACAGGAGCATCTGCCTCAAAGCATTGTTGTGAAAGTTAATTGAGTTACTACAAGTGAAGTGTCAAGAGGAATACTCAGACCATTGGTTTAGTCTCTAAGTCAAATACGATTCTTTGCGACCCTATGTACTGTAGCCCACCAGGCTCCTCTGTCCATGGGATTTTCCAGGCAAGAATACTGGAGTGGGGTGCCATTTTCTTCTCCAATGGGTCTTCCCGATTCAGGGATCGAATGTAGGTGTTCTGCCTTGCAGGTGGATTCTTTACTAACTGAGCTACCAAGTAAGTCTAACAGATTATTAGCTGTTCCTAATAATACTTTGATTAATAAATTAATACTTTGATTACTAATAATACTTTGATTATTAATACTATGATTAATAAATAGACTGGATTTGAAGGGGAAAGGACAGGGTTTGACCTGTGTGACCAAGAACTGCGTGACTTTGACCAAAGAACTTAAAAATATTAAGCAAACTGTAAACTGACCTGTAAAATGAATAGAACTAAGCCTAGCCCCCAGATTGTCAGAGGGCTTATTATAATGTTGTGTAATTGACTGCTTTGTAAACTATGAAGCTCTGCATGAGCTAAGATAATAGAAACTCATTCATTCATCCAAGAAATATCAGCTGAGCATCTACTGTGTGCCAGGGACATAGTAATGTGACAAAGACAAATAAGCCCATGAAGCTTATATTTGAGCTTGGGCAATGAATTAATATAATAGAATGTCAAGAACTAGGGAAAAAATAGCAGGGTAAAGCAGGCTAGAGGTTGGGATGGGATGTAGTATGGTTTTAGTTGGGATAGTGACTTGTGAGGAGAGATTTTAATAAAGCGAGGGAGTGAGCCATGAAGCTATCTGGAGGAGGAGCATTTCAGGCAAAGGAAAACAACCCATGAAAAAACCATGAAGTAAGAGCTTGATTGGCACGCTGAAGAGCCAGCAAGGCGGTGGTATAGCTGGAGTTGGAGGGAACGAGAGAAAGACTTGTGGAGGGGAGCACAGAGTGGTAGTCCAGGGCTAGATTGTCTAGCACCTCATAGACCATGAAAGCACAGAGGGAAGGAAACCCATTGGAGGGTTTGGAGCAGAGGAAGGCCATGGATTCTTACTGCTCTGGAAAGAAAAATCAGCTGGCTGCTGTGCTGAGAAGAGCTTTTAGGGGAGCAAGAGAAGGAGGGAGACCACTTAGGAAGCTCTTGTAGCGGTCTAGGTGGAAGGTGGTGGTGCTTTCAGGAGAGGTGACTGGTTTAGGGATTTGCTGGTACTGGGTATGAGACATGAGAAAAAGAAAGTAGGCAAGCAAATGCAAGGCTTTAGACCTGGGCAGCTTGGGGAAAGATGTTGCCAATTCCAAGATGATGAAGGCTCTGGAAAAGCAGGTTTGGGGGGCTGAGAATGGAAATTTGCATGTAGGTGTTCTCAATATGAAATGTCACAGGCGATTGGAATTCAGGCATAATGTTGGGATTAGAGACATGAACAGGGCTTCACGATTCATGAAAGGGTGAAGTCACCTAGGAATAAGCCAGGACACAGACAAGAAGAGTTCACCAGCATGAGCTCTGGGAGCTCCAAATTTCAGATGCCGAGAATAGGAGGCATTATTACAGCAATGATAATACTGAAGAAAACAATAAATGACTCTCTGAACTTGATT